GTCTGCACTGGGAAACTGGTGCCCTTGACATCACCGAACATTCACAGCCTGGTATATCACATGTCCCTGAGTATGGGACTCTAGAGCAAATCTTATCAATGATCACAATGGTATTAATGTTTTAGTGTGTGATAAATTTTTAAAATATCTTTACAACAATTTTGCAATTCAGACTTCTGATAAATGATCTGCTATATTTTTGATCTATAATTTACTGATTATCACATCCTTGGTCAAGAATGCACATCCCAATTATGCCACTCTCCTTAAATAAAAATAGAATATACTCATTGTGATTTCCAGAAACATACTAAAGAAAAGGCAAGTCTCCCTATACTTGTTTCTTTAAGTTTCTCTCTTTATCTTAAAATTTAAATGTACCAAAGAATTTCGTATTTTAGACCAACCCAATTAGTACAGCGAGAGCTGCCAAAATAAAGCAAACTTTCCTGAATTTTAGTTTAACGAAAACTGACATCTTAGGGACGCCTGGGTGGCTCAGTCGGTTAAGCGTCTGCCTTCAGCTCAGGTTATGATCCCAGGGTTCTGGGATCGAGTCCCACATTGGGCTGTCTGCTCCGCGGGGAGCCTGCTTCTCTCTCTGCCTCTGTCTCTCATGAATGAATGAATAAATAAATAAATAAATAAATAAAAGAAAACTGACATCTTATAATCACTGAAAACAATGAAGTGTTCAGTAATGTGTCACAGTTACTATTGACAGTTGACATGTAACAATACCTGTCCTCTCCTCAGATCTTCACTTGGGGGAAAGAAAAAAACCTGAAAGGTGGTAGAAATGAAACAGGAAAAGGAAGAAACTTAATAAAACATTTTTTCAAAATCAATGATCATACTTTAATAGAATGTTTTTCCCTAGACAAAAATAAGAAACCTAATATCAATATAGTAGAAATAGTACAGAATCCAATACAATCTTTGAAAATAAAAATGGATGCATATCCACTGAAGATGGTTTCCAACACAAGGGTCTCATTTTTTATAAAGAAAATAGTTAATATTTTTAATGCATTATGGGTACTTGCTATTTAAAAGAATTCAAGGTGGCTATTTCTATACAGCACATTTCTATAAATTAAAAATAATCTTAATTTTAAGGTTAAATTAATTTAAATTGTTCTTATTTACATTTACTATCATTTATCCTTTATATAAAACTGAGAAAAAAAGTGTCACTTTAGGTCAGGCTTATGATCCAGTAAATGTTATCCCTGACAGCAGTGGCAAGAAATTTACAGAGTAGTCACAATTCCTTGATACCTGTCTCCTAAACAGTCAGATACTCAAAAACATATTAGCATCTTTAAATAACTCATTAAAGGGTTGTGAATTCACCTGGACTATTTAGGACGCTATTTTGTTTTTAATTTTGTTCTAACCTTGACTGCTTACATAGTACTTCCTTTATTATCCAAATTTGCTTCTTTAAACATTTGGCCTAGTTCTAGCCTATCATGTTCTGACCCATGTTTGAGTTAACCACAAGGGTTTTTTTGTTTTGAGCACCATGAGACCCATGTGAGGTCTTAAAGCAGGAAGGCTATGTAAAGGAATGAAAAACTGCCTGTACTTTTGGTGAGGTACTCAGGTCTTTTAAGATTGCTCATATTTCAATGTAAGATTAAAATGATAAGAACAGAAATAACACTGATAATCACCCTATTCCTGACCATCATAATTCATTCAGTGGACATCTATTGGGTCCGTAATATATATGTGCCAGGCACTGTTAAGTGCTGACAATACAGAGAAAAAAAAAGGCTCTGCTTTCAAGATTTCACAATCTACTAGGAATGAGACCACAAATGTAAATTCCTATAGAGACCAATTCTGAAATCTTTTAGCCTGGAGAGAAAAAATTTGATGTATTTACTCAAGTAAATGTCTTTCCAAAAAAATGATTTTACTCTGGTAAAATATAATTATTTTTTGATAAGGACTTACTGGGGAGGAGATGGCATAATAGCAGGCATAATAATAAGTCCAATATTAGACTTCTGAATGAAAATTCTCAACCTTCTCCTTACTGGCTTCAATTTCCAAAATTGTATCAGCAGTAATTTACTTGAAACAGATGAACCACCAAAGGCAACAAAATATCTAAAGGCAATTTAAAAAGATCTTTTTTTAATTAATCCAGGCAACACTAGCTCCTTGTGACATATCTTATGCCAAAATACCAAGAAAATTCTTTGAAAATGGCAAGTTGTGGAATCCTATCTGCCAGGTTCTGGAAACCATGACAGTAACTGAAATAACTAGGCTTTAACAAGTGAGACCGCTTATAATACCATAACTGTTTCTGAAAAATACATGACCTCTAACTACTGGCTTATTTATTTATACCCTGAATTTTTCCACAAAGGATTTGAAACAGCTACCCTAATATAAAGCGAAGCACATGAATTATACCCACCCGGCTTTGAATTGTGGCTCTGCCATTTACTATTTATAATCTTTGTGCCCTTAACTTCGGAGATTCAGTTTCTTAATCTGTAATAATGAGGATCACAATCCTACTCTGTTGGGTCATAAGAAGGATAAAATGAAATAGCATGTACCACAGTATCTGGCATATAGTAAGTGCTAAATAAATATCAGTTTTGTGCCTTCCCTATCCAAATGTATGCTATGTAGAAAAAGGATAAGGTGGAATTTTAAATGATTTTTTAACACACTGATACGTGCCAAGCAGAAATGTGGACTGATTATGAGTTGCAAATGTTACGGTTTGCATGTAACAATCAGGCTCAAAGCAAATTCAATTTCTTTTCATAAGGTCAGCACTTTGAGAACGTATTTTATAAACCTTTTCGCTATATTATTTAATGCAAATAAAATCTGATGAAAAAGATGAATGAAAAGAGCCCATTTGCATACTAATTTTCACACTATCCATTCAAAGGATGATTAAACAGTCTAAATTCAATTTTCTTATAAAACATCTATAGTATTAATCAGGCTAACAATTTTAAATGTAATTCTGCTAGTCTTAAAAACGTGATTTCCTTTTAAAAATATTTAGAAAACATCTATCAATATCTTTTCTATTGAAGAGCAGCGTTTAGTTTAGATTTTTAAAATATGATCCAAGTCACAAAATACTAAGTACCAGCCGTAAGCACTATTACAACTCTGCTCACGTTAAGGAGAGCAAGTAAACATTTTATACAGCAGTAGAGGTGACCAGGAAAAAACTGAAAAGCTATTTGAACTGATCCCCCTCCCCCTCCATTATACCCGGGAATGCAAGTGTCCCGCATCTCAGATCAAACTGAGCCTCGGTCTTACTGACGTAACCAGTAACCCTATCCACCTCTCACACTGCGGAGGCCGGCAGGGCAGCGGCTGCCGCCAAGTACACCACTCATCAGAGCCTGCCCCATTCCACCCCCGCGTTTCAGTCATGCTTTCCAGAAATGGGGTCACTCACTAACTATTACACACACGCAGCCTATCATCCTGTAATCCCCCAAAGTCCGCTGCGGGGATAGAAGACAGCAAAAAGTCAAGAAGGGAGAATCACAGACATGCCACCATCAGGAATTGATTTTTCCACTCCGGAGAGGAGCGCTGATGCCCTGGAATGGGTCTTGTCTGGATTATTTTCGCAGACCCCGAGTTGGTTCTGGGACAGGGGCGGCTGCGAAAGCTCGATGCTGTGCCGTGTCCGGGGAAATTGTTTTGCCGTCTTTGGGTATATTGTTTTGGTTTTTGGCACTCGGTTAGGTGTCTCTGGGATGGTCACCGAATAGATCCTGGGGGAAGAAAACCTGAAAGCCCTTTAGGGCGGCTACTGATGGCCTTGAATATCACCCTCTCACCTCCATGGACAGGAAACTCAAGTTAAAGCTCCTACGGACTGGGTCCTCGAGCTCAGCGACCTAAGAAATGGGGGAGGGGGAGGACCTCAAGCTTCCACTTTCTCCCTTGCACCAGCAGAAACCGCTGCGGCAGACAAACTGTGGGGAGGCAAAAACCCTTGGCTGTCCTGCACCCCGTACCCGAAACCCCCACAGGTCGCCAGTCCTGCCTTGGGCCGTTCCAGCCCCCAGGCGCCCGACTCACAGCACCAACTCCCTCCCCTGGCCGGACTCGAGAGTCCCCGCTTCCCAGTGAACCCAATCCATACCCCTCCCTTACACCCTGGTGACCATCCCAAAGTCGCCAGGGTCCAGGGAAGCCCCCAACCAAGCAGGGCCAAACTTCCCAACTCCTCTCCGGCCCCCGCTCAGCTTCCCGCTCCCCCCACGCAAAGTTGATTAAAATCGGCTTCTTGCAAAGCCCCAGCGCCCACTCCAAACCCCACGCGCCACCACACCACAGCCCCCCGAGCGAGGGAGGGGAGGTGAGGGTGCGGGTGGAACAGAAGGGCAAACAGACCAACCCCAACTACCCAAACCGGAATCCCAGACAGAGGGGAGATGTGAGCAGCAGAGGAAGGGGCCAAGTGGCCAGCCCCAGGGAGGGGAGCCGGCCCGCGGGGGCGAGGGGAGGGGCGCGCCGGCCCCCGGCCGCCCGGCTTCACTCACCTCAGCGCTGTCGGACGGGCTCTCCACAGCCATCTTCTGCCACGGGTCCGCCAGCTGCGCCAGCGGCATCTTCCCCCCCGGCCCGCCGCCTTCACCGCCTCCTCCCTCCCCGCCCGCCCCACGGCCGGCCCCGCTCTGTCGCCGCCCGAGCCCCACGACAGCAGCAGCGGCGGCGGCAGCAGCAGCACCAGCGCCGGCTGCCCGGGAGAGGGCTCGGCGCCGACACCGACCCTCGAACGCCGCGCGCCTGGCTGGAGATGTCCGCGCGCGGAGCGAGAGCCTCGCGCCGCTGCCGGGCACCCGGTCTCGCCCCTTTCTTCCTCTCCTCCTTCCGCCGCCGGGACTACAGCTCCGCCCCCCCCGCCGGTTCCCGCGCCCGCTCCCAGTAGAACAGCGACGGCCGCGCGCTCCCCCACTTCCGCTCACAACATGGCGCCTAAGCGATACCTGTCTCTCAGAGCGAGGCTCTGCCGCCGCCGCCACCGCCGCGCGCACCCGGGGGCGGGGCTTGGAAAGACACGCCCCCGGCCGCCGCGCTTCGCTCCTCCCTCCTTCCTCGCCCCAGCCTCAGCTTCTGGGCCTCGCCTACTTTCAGGAAGGGCGAGCCCGAGAGATCTGGGGGCGTCGGCGGGCGGCTGGCGGTGGGGGAAAGAAGAGGGGAAGGGTAAGAGGAGCTAAAGACTGGGAGCCTTGAACTGCTAAGGGTCCGAGCAGGTCGCAGGCTACTTAAGGATGTAGAGAACAGTGGTCCCCGCTTAGCTGGGGGAGGGAGATGGGCGAGGCGCCGTGGGCACAGTCCGGTGCCAAAGACCCGGGGAGTGAGCGTGGGGTGTCTTTTCGGTTTCACTCCTTGGTGGGTGTTTGTGGGCGCGTCGTGTCTATGGGAACATCCTTTAATGGACCAGGACCCGCCCTATCCAGGCTCACACGCTGGGCATTCACCTGCCCCCCCCCGTAAAGTCCCCCACGACGGGGACTCGTAAGGCTTTGTGCCCTGGAGCTCCCTGGAGGTTCAGCTCTCGGTTTTGATTCAGGGCTCTCCAAATCGAGGCTCTGGTGTCATCTTTTTAATATTTGGAATTCATTTGTCCTGCTTGAGTCGCCCCCCACCCAAAGTCTGCAGAGCCCTCAGGCATCAGCCTCGACTCTCGAAGTCCCCCATTCCCTGCACGAAGAAGAAAATAAGAAGGTTCCTTGAGGTTGCCCCTCTCGGCAGAGGTTGGGGAATTGTTTTAAAATACCTTGCTGTCAGAAGCCTGGGGTTCCTGCTCCTCTGTTGACTTTAAATAAAAGATTAGATTAAAAAATCAGGCTGGCCGAGGGTGGAGGAGGGAAAGCGAGGGAGGGGTTTTAACTCCTCCTCCAGCCCAAGATAGGGAAGCCCTGGGTTAAGGAAACCCAATCCCCAGGCGGCAACGGAATCCAAGAGGATGGAGAGTTTGTGGGGACAGGCCTGGGCGTCTGGACTGAGTCCCGCCGGGGGGGGGGGGGCGGGGGTTCTACCTCGTGTTCCCAACGCCAGGTGCCTAGCGAGCTTAGTGCGCCTGGGCAAAATTGTGTAAAAGTCGCCGGGCTGAGTGGAAAGCTACTGCAGCCACTGGCCAACCCTCTCTACGAGGAGAAGGAAAAAAAGTAAAGGGAAATCTCCAGGACTGCCAGTGCCTTCATCCCCTCAGGCCTCGGCGCAGGCGTCCCGGTCCTCCCACGCCCGGCGGCCACACCGCGTCCCCAGCTGCGCTTCCGGTGCACGCCTTTTAACAGCTCGCTTTCATCATCCCGGGACCCAGACACCTGGAGAGCCCTTGGCTTCCTCCCTAACGCAGGTGTGAGGTTGAGATTAGAGCCCCACTCCTGGCCGGACAGGTCTGCGCGGGCGGTGCAAGGTTTCTCGCTGGGCCCAAGAGAGGCAGGTGTTCAACTCTTTCTTCTACCTTAGCCTGCGCGCCCTCTGGCACAAGCTCGAGGCCCGGGAGCCTCGTGGCCACCAGAAAAGGCTCCATCTGTTTAGGGATCCCGAGGAGGTGGCCGGAAGTCCTCGCTGCGCGCCCTCTCTCGCAGCCTTGGACTCAGGGGGACAGCTCAGGGTTGAGCAACATCTGGGCAGGCACAGCGTGGTCTGTGCGGTGGGGGGTGGGGAGGACTTAGCTCGTGATTTTGTCACCTTCCCCTGCAGGCTTGATTCTAGTGCTGCAAATCCAGTCTGGACCCAAACTCAACTAATTTGACAGCACCGTCTCCGTAATTCCTGACGGTAAAACCAGTTAACAGAAGTTTGAGGATAAGGAGTTGTGCATTGTTTTGCATTTATGTAGGAAGTGCCTAATTTATCTTTCATTTACATTGCAAAGCCACATTACCATTCCTTACAGCGAAAAGAAGTTGGTCAATTTGGTTAGTTTAAGGTAAATTAGTCCGCCAGTGATCAATTATTCCAACTAACATTCTTGCTTTGGGAAAAAGATACCTTATATTTAAGGAGACAGTTTATGTGTCTAACACTGCCCGGTGCGAATTACTCCACTGTAATAAATCAAGTTGTATACTGAAAAGTTGATTTCAGCATCAACTTTTATTTTTACCTTGAGGACTAGAACTTCAAAAGCAAAGTCACTGTGAACAGTGGTCACATTGCAGGAATTAGGAATGAAATGAACTGTTAATAATGGGCTGTGTACCACTAGCACAGCTGTCTTGCACATAGGATCAACTTATAAGTATTTGTGAATTGATTTAGAAAAACACCATTCTTCTTCCTTTTGTCCAAAGAGAAAAATGAATTTTTTCTTTTAGTTAACAATTTTTTTTCATTTATTTCTTTTATAAATCCAAAAGCGGTGCAACCACTCTCTCTGGGTGGCAGAATTTGAGAAAATGAGATGAGGCTGGGGGATGTTTCTTGTAGGCGGCTGCAAAAAGAGTTATTTGAACATAGAAGCTGATATTACCCTGAACAGGATTACTTTTTTCTTTCCTGTTTAAGAAAGGAAAACTCTAAGTGTAGTTATTCAAAGAATAGCTGCCTCTAGAGATCTCCCTGTGCAGGCTAATATGGTAGCTACTAGCCACACATGGCTCTTGAAATACTTAAAATAAGATTGGCTGATCGCAAATGAGATGTGCTGTAAGTGTGAAGTTCACACCAGATTTCAAAGACTTAGTACAAAAAAAGAATGTAAAGTAGCTCAGTAATAATTTTATATTGACTACATGTTGAAATAATGTTGAATATATTGAGTTAAATAAAATACTTCATTAAAATTAATTTCACCTGTTTCTTTTTACATCTTCATATGGCTACTATAAAATGTATGCTTATATATGGGGCTTACTTGTCAAGATTGGCATTATAGTTCTAGAGGACAGCACTGCTTTAGAACTTTCACATTGAGCCTTTTAATGTTAAGTGACATCCTCACATTCTACTGTCTTTTGGGCTCTTTGGTGCAAAACCAGCACAAAGGGCTGATTCTATGCCCCACCTCCTGCATAAATCTCCCAGTCAGAACCAAAATATTGGAAAGTTATTACTTGAAACTACAGCAGAGGGAAACAGCAAACCTCAGTCGAAAATCCGGACTTGATTTCCAAGAAATCATTCCTGATGTATGACAAGACAACCAAATTTAACTTCCTCTGTCCCCAACAATTTCCTGCTATAATTATAACCTTTGTATAGAAGTTTAAATAGGCATTTACTTAACAAAATAACATTTGTTCAAAAAATGGAGTTCCATCAGTCTGGAAAAGTTACAAGATGACTAACTACGGCTCATGGCACAATCTCTACTTTACACATATCCCGAATTCACAGCTCAATTACATATAGCTTTGTTACTACTATAGAAAACCCATAGAGTGTAATCATCATCTCTCTGAAAAGTCTTTTCCCTTTACATTACCTGAAGTATATTTATTTTTCACAAAAAAGAAAAAGTAATTGCTAGAGGCTATTTCTTTACAGAGAGAAAGAAAGATAAAACTTAGGCTCAAATTTTATTTCATGTAAGATAATAATCAAACAAAATACATGGTGACATATCTTCCATGTGTATAAATTTTGTGGGATTTTTTTAAGTTCCCAAATAAAAATTAAGAACATTTTCTTGATTGATACACATCTTAAGAGACAACAGGAATTTCTACATCTATTTGAACGTTTTAGTTGAGAGAATTCAAATTTTGGAAATGTAAGGATCTTCTCTAGGTTCCCTTCCAGATATAAATTCAATGATTCTCAAGTTGCCTATGATGAAAGATGGTAATAAAATCTATAAAGAACTAAGAGGAGGGCGCCTGGGTGGCTCAGATGGTTGAGCATCTGCCTTCAGCTCAGGTCATGATCTCCAGGTCCTGAGATCGAGCCCCACATCGGGCTCCCAGCTCAGCGGGGAGTCTGCTTCTCCCTCTCCCTCTGCCTCTCCCCTCTGCTCATGCTCTCTCTCACCCTCTCTCTGTATCTCTCTCTCAAATGAATGAATAAAATTTTTTAAAAAAGAAAAGAACTAAGAGGAAGACATTCTGTGATACAAATACTTGAGTTATTTCTTGAACATTCTTCCCAGTAAGACGATATGGAATCATTATAAGAGCTGAGACAGGCCTGTGCCCAAACTGAAGATTCCTTTATATGTCTCTAAGCTTCAACTTGATGGCCTAGAACAGGGTCTGGCACATTGTAGTTGCTCAATAAATATTTGTGGACTAAGCTTTGTTTTCCTCATTTGAAAATAAGGATAATAATACATACCTGGTAGGATTGATGGGAAGACTGAACGGAAACGTCTGTAATGCATTGAGCACAGCGCCTGCCACATAGGGAACCACTCAATAAATGGAGGTATTGTTATCAGCTTCAGAAAGGGAGTATTCCTGCATACATAATATAATTCAAATACTTCACTCAAAAGTTATTGTTGAGTGAGCATTTTATTATGGCATAATCTATTTCTTTAGTGCACTCTTGGATCACAAAAAAAAAATGATACGGTGAGTAACTTCCTGTGGAATTCAAATAAAAGAGCATGTAGGGTAACTTACTGCTCTGTTTTTCAAGCCACATGTGTTGAAATGCAAATGATTACAGGTCAGTTGCCTCATAGGCTATGATCAAAACTTTGTTTATGTAATGCTCAAAAGAAACTAACGAATGTGTGATTCAAAGTTAACATTACCTGACTCACGTAGGGAGGATGGGAGGAACAGTGAAGTATTGAGGAGAGGTCTGTGTCAGACATGCTTTAATGTTTTCTTTTATTGGTTTCCAAAATGCTTAATCCTTAGAGGTGTCGTTTTGTTTCAGAGTTGTTTGAAGGGAAAGAATTATGGGACTTTGAGACTTGACAAGGAACTGAGAAGCCATTCTTGGAACTTTAATAAGCTACTGTTTTCCTTCAGTTTACATTTTACTAGAACAGAAAAAACCCACTAAATGTTCTTGTTTATGAACACTAATTCATAAGAGGGAGATAATACATTAAAATTTCATTTTCAAACTGATATTAAAAACGGCTACTTTAACATTAACCAAAAATTGCAGCATAAAGTATTCCTTCAGAGGATAAACATTCCCGTTTTATAACTATCAATTTAGTTTGGTTGGTCAGAGCAGTGGTTCTCAAATTTTTTCAGTCCACAAACCATTTTAAAGCAAAAACCCAAGGACCACCGGTTTGTACTCATCACTATGAAAAAACCCCCAAAACTTTATGGAACTGTTGTTTTAGATCATGGCTGTTATTGTGGTTACATTTTTTTTTTAAAAAAGCTTATATTTGTGTTTTTGAATGTACATTTGAGTCTGCAACTAG